AAAGAAAAATAAACAGGAACAAAAAGATAAGAAACAAAAGACAGTCTATGCTGCTTTCTCAAATCAAACACTACAACGCACACACTTCTGTAATGACAGCAGTCTTTTGCAGAAGTTTGTGCAACATCTCAAAACCACCCAAGAAGAAAGACCAAAAAAGAAAGGGAAAAGAAAAAATATTGTCAATTTGGCTACAAGTAGGGTGATCCAACAACTCCTAGATGGAAAGGTAAATTCTCCTCACTGATATCCATAGCTAACCCAACGAATGATAATTTTCTTAAAAAATTTAAATCTCTCCCTAGTTGAAAATGAGTAACAATTATATGGATACTCTACTTACCAATCAATAGTCAAAAGGTTAAAAGTTTTTTCAAGGGTATGCTCTGTTCAGGTGCATTAAAGGATCTGATTTTCCAATTCCTAACCCCAATAAGTACCTAGATTACATATACCTGCAGGCACAATGTGCAAAACCACTGGTAGTCTACCACTTACTTTTTTGATGGTGTTCCTGATTCATTTGGAGGATTCTTACAAATGAAGGTAATCAGCCGGTGCTGCATGTGGATGTAACCATTGTATCCACAAGCTTTGCATTTCTGACCGATCCTCTCTTTACGAGCTTCAACCAACTAATATTCAGAAAACAAATGAAGAAAATCAAATCTTACTTAACCCCTCTTCTAACTTCAACCAGTTTCTACCTTAACAGTAGCTGGACTGAGAAAGGCAAGAGAAACACATGTACAGTATGTCAGTGTATGTAGTTTTCCGCATCAAAATCCATTAATACATCACCTAAGAGGTCTCCGTTCTGGTTTGTTCTTAATGGGTAATGCATTGAAGTTGAATGGTTCAGGACAATTTCTGAAGCAAGATTGCAAATCTTTCAGCATGCCTCTGGCTAACCAAGTTTGAGGTTCATATTGTAAGTTACAGAACAAGGTTTCTTTTGAACAAGTTTATTTCTGACTTATGGCCCAAGTGAAAAATCCTTGAAATTGTTAACGACAAGCTTATCTATTCAATGAACTGTCACCACTAGCCTATCTTAAGTACCAATGTATTACCAGGAATTAAAGAACAACTCAGCAATCAGCTTACCAGGTCAGTCTCTGGGTTATCACAATCAGGGCATAAAACAAACTTCTCAATAAACCCATCAAGAATGTCCTGCAACTTCTCTGCATCATGGGATCCATTTACAATGTAACGCTCATTCTTCAAGTCTATCTGGGTTTGTGCACCCAATTCACAACCAAAGTACTTAGTAGGATCTAAAAGGGGACAATTTTTGTATTACAACTTTATCATGTGGCAAGGAGATAGATATCACAAAATCTATGTGTGGTGGATACTTGGTAATATGCACTTTAATTTCTTTAAAAAATTAGCTTTCTTTTTGCATGCTGACCAATTAATAGCTAAGGGCTAGTACCTGATACAAGGTAAGTTCCTGTATGACATTTTAAAAGTGCTCTAAACTGAGAAAGAAATTTTTGTTAAAGGTGAGGTGTACCGCTAAATCCATCCCGAGTCTAATTACTTAACACTAAATACACATCATAAACTATGTAACTGGTTTTATTTAAAACACCTAATTTAGGAATCTAAAAGAACTCATTTTGCAGCAAAAAAACTTCCTTACATGAGGCTGGTCTCTGCAAGGCTTTGGCAATTTCTACCATATTCACAATGACTGTTTTGATTCCATTTCCTTTTCCCTCCACCTGAAAATATTTGTGAAGCTGTAAACTCAGTATCTTATCAGCTTTAGCTTTTGAACTGCGATGATAATAGCAACAAATGACAACCCTCTGCTTATCCATAAATGAACACAATGTTATACTAGCAGGTTTTTCCCTAAGAGCAGCCCTCCAAGCTGCAAGGAAAATAAAACAAAACAAGGGTAGGGAAAAAAATTAGTGCCGATTTAACAAACTGTCTGTGGCAGTTATGATGCCAGCCATCATTTTTGTATTACCTAGTGTTTAAGGTCTAAAATTAAAAAAAAACCAACACATTTTTTTCTTAAAAAAAAAAAGGACAATTTCTTTGCCTTTGCTTTCTGTGAAGAACAACTGCTTCTTTCTATGTGGTTGTTTGAGTAATAACCTTTAGGATTTCTCATGAATCCCCGAAAAACAATTGCCAAATGTTCACATTGCTTATTTCATGCACAAGAGATTCAGTCAACAACACAGTTCATAATTTAATATTTGCAAGAATTTTCCTTCCCCTTCTTTTTATTTCTAGTCATCAACATTTCTAGGAGCTTGGAACCCAAGGAAGAGTTCCCTCGGAGAAGTTTTCTGTGGTATTATGGGTAGAAAACTCAACGATTTTTGCTTGAAAAATTTCATTGTTACTCTGGCTTCTCATATGAATAACGAAATTTAATTTTCTAACATTCTAAATAATTGATTCTTCAATAAATAAATAAAATTTCACGAGAAGTGCCCATGAAAAGTTATCCTTGCTAGTATTTAAGAAGCTTTAGAAACATGCATGAAAAAGTTCCTTTACCTTTGTTCAATAAAATCTTACCTTAGCTAGGAGTTTTGGCATCTTATACCGGTAATACATATCGGTGTTTTTTCTGTTGACGTTGACGAGAGCCATGATTGACTACTTTTAATAAGTTTCCTCTTTGACAAACGCTTGTAATAATTGCAATTACTGCAATAATTATTTCTGCTGTGTATAATTTTCCCTGTAAAATTCATACAAGTTCTATATCTTTTCCGTACTGCGAAGCAAGGTAGGCGTTTTAGCCCGCTTTTAGTTTCTGTGTGTAAATGAATCTTGAGTTTGCTCAACCGAGTCCAACCTACAAAAGATAATAATATAGTAAAAAAAAAAAAAAAGGATGATCAATCATTCATACCATTCAATCAGAAGTGGATACCATCAGGTGTTAGGATTTCTATTTACTTTCAATAGATTCATGAATAGGATCTCAATGCTGAATCAGTGTTGAAGTGTGAGGCTTGTACTTGTAGCCAAATAAATCCATCATGGATATAATTAGGGTTAAATAATATGGTATATTTTTAAACTCATTTTCCACCTCTTGATCATTGTTAACTTACTTGTTTGTTGTATCCTATATTAACAATAGAGACTTACTATTATTGTTATCATTATTCACCATTGCTATGTTCATGTAAATGCACCAAAACAAATAGAGAAGGTAAAGACATTTTTTTAAAGTACACAACTCAACTCTAAATGAGATAAAACCCCTTTCAATCATGCCACTTGAAGTGCTGGATAGTCGAGGAAATGTAAAAAACCAAGTATGGTATCTGATTTCTTGTCCACATGTGCTTCAATAACAGATGAGAAGTCACATGCAGAAACTTTATCCCTTCTAGATGCATGGGAACAAAGTTCGTTTTAACATTCACCTATGAATTTAAGACTTGATGCTTACCAAATGTAACAATAATAGTTACTTTTTTTCAGTTAACCCTTCTCTCCAAGATCCTATTAATAACTCTCTATAATATCTGCTTAACAATTCTTATGATGTTCATTTTATGAATTGGTTTGCATCAACTAATAATCTGCTAATTGACATTTTTCTTCAATCTTATCACTTCTCTGCATCTGCATGATACTGTATTGAAAATGTAAGGAAAATTCTGTCTTGGTCACTGGTGGGAGTTTAAGGGTTAACTAAGACAGGAGTACATTCTTCTGATGGGTCATATTGTTTGGACTTTTCTCATTTGAAAGAATGAAATATTTTTGGGAAACGAAGCCAAGACATTTTCAATATCCCTGGACACCCATGTTGTCAGTCCTGGACAGTATAAAGAGACTAGACTCACTAATTTGGATTTAAACCCTCTTAAAAAATTCCACATTGGAAACATTTTACTCTAAAAAAATTCACTTAGAATAATGAAGAAGTTCGTGTGTTCAATTCAAGTCTGTTGAGGCTTTCCTTATTTTTCACATTTTTTTTTCAGTGTTTAAGTATTGATGGATATTTGAACAAACGTGTGTATGTGCTGATTCAAAACATTTTCATTGTTTTGTTTCTCTATTGTGCAAGCTGAAATAATCAAAATTTTAAATTTGGATGGTAAGTTGTGCTAATTTCCTCGGCAATTCTTTTTGGAAGTAAATTCTGCTTAAGTATTCAAAAACCTATGCTTGAAATTTGAGGCAAGAACTGTTATTAACGACTAAAAATAATATTGACAACATATTTCTCGTTCAGAGACCCAGTTATTTGGACAATATAGCGGTAAGGTTTCGGTTTTGGATCTTCCACGTTTTCTAACAGCCCGAGGGCGACGTGTCCAAGGACAAATTTATTTTTAAACTAAATGTTTCGCGATAAAATATGTTTTAAAACTCAGAGATGCATAAAAAAAGGAAAAAACTTGCTCGGTCAAAAACTTCGTAAAATTTTGTCTTACAAGAACTTTACCACACACGAGAGTGGAAGGCAGAGCGATCGATAACACAAAGACAGCAACTAATGAAGAGGAATTCACACACAAACAGATGACGACATTCGACAGGTAAAATAAAAAAAGTAAATCACTACTCCGAGAGATTAATTCGTCAAATTATGAGTCACCGGTTGTTGTCTTACCTTCTGAGCACAAAAAAGTCATAAATTGCCCTAAGATGACGAAATCGTCGAAATCTCCTTGCACAACAGTGGCGCGCGAAACACGCACTTAACAGCCCAAAATTGAGGGAAATACCTAAATATCAAGACAAAATAATTGTTATAAATATGAAGCTTTCAGGAAATCACGAGAAATTTTTTTTCCGCATCGTAACAGGCTTAAAATTCGAGAAAAATCCAAGTGAATGTCTACTCACACTTCCTCAGTAAAGATGGCGAATTAGAGTAAAATTTTTCGATCACGTGACTTCTTATGACGTCAAAAGTATTCACCAGTTCCTTTCTGCTTAGGAGTTTCATTTTTTTGGTTCCATTCATTCAAATCTCTCTTTTTCACTTGTTCTGATATGTTTGTTTATTCTTCGATGGTGGTTTGCGTTTATGATCATGCACTTTTAGGATTGAGTGATGTACTTTGTCAAAGGCTAGAATCGAAATTCCAGCTATTATTTAGCTAAAGAAACAGATCTAATAGCGAAACTGCAGTGAATTCTATTTTTTTTAGGTCCTACGTGAAGGAGTAATCTCGAATGCTGTGATCTGAAGTCTTGATTTTGCGTCGAAATGGAATCGGACGTAGATTGTTTTCCTTTGAAAGACGTCTCATCCGTGGTCGAGGTTTTCAAGACGGAACTTGGGAAAGACGAGCCGAACCTGGCGAAGTTATCGATCATTTTAGGGTTCTTTGAAACGGCCCTAACTTGCAAAGGTTCCTCGAGTAGCTGCCCAGGATTAGACAAAGAAACTTTCGACGCGTTGTACGGTAAATTTCAGGCCTTGATTCACAAAGATTTTAACGTTAACAAAGAACAGAAGCCAGCTTCAAGGGACTTCGTCGTCAATGTCGCAGATCTTGTGTGGAGTTGCCTTTCCAAGTCTTATTTCAAGGATAAACCGCATATTCAGAATCTCTACAGCTTTCTAACAGGCAAGTATGATTAGCGTGTATCAGTGTTCATTTACTCGTAGGCTGTGATTACATTAATCCTTTTAGACCAAGGTGGCAGGTGAGGTTTATCATTCGAAGCCCTGCGTCTTTGCAATTTCGAGATGGTCTTCATTTTTCCACCTTATTAATGATCGATCGAATTTTAATTCGTTTTAATTGTTTGCATTCATATACTGTAAAATTATGCCTGAGAGCAAATTCCATCTAACCTCGCCAGACCATGCCAATCTGTGTCTGTAAATAAAAAGAGCGCTTCTAATTAACTATTTCGTGTTTGAAAGGTATATAGGGAAAAATTGTCACTTCTTGGTTCGCTTTTTTTAAATATCTTTGTTTTTATGTCTTTGTTTTTTTTTTGGCTTAAGTGAAAGCTATCATGTTCTTACAATTTTAAGTGAGTTACTACACTGTGATGTTTAGTTGTTTTTTTTGTGACGCAGATTTTTGAATCAAAATAGATCTCATCATTAATTGTGTTATTCTGTTTGCTAACCAACAAGGAAAGTTATGTTACATTTCTAGTGCATCCTATGGTGAGTAGGAAAGAGACACAAAAATTATTGAAACAACAAGAATGATTTTCAAAAATAGTCTCAAGACTGAATCAGTTTGTGTTCAGCAGGCATATTTCTTAAGGAAGGTGTTAATGAGGAAAAGTGTGAATATTTTCAAAATAATTTCAACTGTCTTATATTCCTTTTGGTAAATGTGTACATCTTAAGCCTTTATTCAACCTTTTGGTTTGCTACTTTTTTTTCTCTTGGGGTGGGGCGGGTGTGTCATGGTAATGGAATTACTGAGGCATTTCAATTAACCATTTACACTCCACAGGTGACCAGCATCTCATTTCTCCTTACAGTATCACTTCTAAATCAAACATAAAGGTCATGAGAATAAAGGAAATGATTGCCAATCAACGAAGCTTGTTTGACAAATTCTCCTTACCAGCTCTATTATTAATTTTCCCCTCTAGTTGCTACACATTTCCTTGTAAATTGGTCATGAGAATTTGGTGTTTGATCAAGGTAATATCTTGTATTTGATAAGTTTGAGTATTCTCACTACCTGTTTGCTGGATTATGTATGGATATTATAGGGAGAAGTTACATATTTATCACTTCTGGGAGTTAAGGGTTAATCTTTTTTTTTTATGTCCTTTATCTTTAATCACAGTTTGTAACCATACATCGAACCAAAATACAAAAATGGTTGACAGGACGGTAGTAGGGGGAAACTAAATTCCCATGCTAAGACATACCTTCATTAATGTGTAGGCAATCGGCTTGACTGCTTTGGTGTTGCCTTTGCTGTGGTTGCCATTTGTCAAGCTCTGGGCTTCAATGATGTTCACTTAGCTCTGTCTGAAGACCATGCTTGGGTGGTGTTTGGTGAAAATGCCGCAGAAACAGCAGAGGTAACATGGCATGGTAAGGGAAATGAGGATAAGAGAGGGCGCCCTGTGGACTTTGACAAGACCACTGGCCAGAGCTGGCTATATCTGAATGGGTATCCTGTGAAGTGCACGCGGCATATGGAGGTGGCATCTATGGTGTCGTCCATTAATCCAGGCATCACAAATACAAGTGACAGTATTGAACTGGCTAGTCTACAACAGGTATGGGCATAAATTTTTTATGCCTTTGAATTTTCAGAGATTTTACAAGTTGTCTTTAATTTGCAAGAAATAAGATCCCTGTGATATTAAATCAAAATTTTATGAGTTAAAACACAATAATTATTTTTTTACCCCTGCTCAAGTATATATTTTATCTCTCATGCTTGATTCTCCTGGTATCTTTTTTTATGAAAGAGTCGTATGACTCAAAGTCTTTTTCTAAGTTAATTTTTTTCTTGCTTTTCTATCAACAGCAACTTCTGTGGTTACTCTATGATCAAGGTCACCTCAAACGGTACAGTTCTCTTTTTTTTTTTCATCAAATATTTTATATTTGTAGCATAACTTTCTACTGTTTTGTGTGTTGCATTTATAAATAGATGCCATAGTAAACTTTTATACTGCAGAAGGTAGACAGTATAAATGGGTACAAGCAAAATGGAAACCTGTTAAGGTCATGCAAATTATCAAAGAGGGCTAAAGATCGCAGTCCTGTATTTCCAGCCATGGATGCCAACTTCAAATACCTTCATCTGCTATAGAGAAGGAAATTAAATTAGGTTTTTACTGCAAACCTTAACATATTCACAATTCTGTTCAGTTCATGCCCTGTCTGAAAAGCAATTCAATCTGAAAAACTTATTCACAGCCTGTTCAGCTCGTGCCCTGTCTGAAAAGCAATTCAGTCTAAAAACTTATTCACAGCCTGTGATCAGCTATCATTGCCATAAACTAAAGTTAATTGTAAATTGAAAATTTGTTTCTGTCATAGGTATCCTCTAGCTTTGGGAAACCTTGGGGACCTGGAAGAGATATCACCAACTGTTGATCGCCCACCAGCTGAAGAAATCCTTAAAGAGGGAATTAAAGTGAACCAAACTGTGTATAAAGACCAGCATATTTATCCTTACACTTACCTTGGTGGTTTTTACTACAGACAGAAGCAGTATATGAAAGCCATTGACTGTTGGGTGAAGGCTGCATATGTGGCTGGAAAGTAAGACAGTAAATTTGTTTTTGCCTGATTTTTATGACCATAGTAAATTGATACCCCTTATTTTTTTTTCTTTAGTCTTATTACTATCATTAACTCTTTCACTACCAAGATTCTCAACTGCCTGCTGTACAATTCTCATGATGTTAGTTCTGAGAATTTGGTGTTGGATCAATGAATAATCTCCTAATTGATAGTTTTCATTTTTTCTCATAACTTTTCTGCTTTATATTGTGTTTATATTGTAAGGAGAAATTCTGTCCTGGTCATGTATGGAAGTTTAAGGGTCTGTTGGATGTTACAAATGAGCAGGTCATCATTTGGAAGCAGTTATTTAAAGGTCACCTGTAAGCTATGAACCTCTGAAAATGCTCTTTATTTTGTTATAGGTACAACTATTCAAAAGATGATGAGGAAATATTCAAAGAACTTTATGAAATTGCCAATGACTTTATACCAAACATCCTCAAAGCCTCAACCTCATCTGCAGAGAGTAGCGAAAGCAGTGCTGCTTACAGGGCTCCCAACCTCACAGAAGACCCAAGCTTTTTTGCTTTTGTTCTTCAGTTTTATGATGGTGTTTGCTTGTGGGAAGAAGGAGGTCATACCCCAGTGCTCCATGCTGATTGGGCAAAAAAGCTTGTACAGTCTATTTCAAGATTTTCTCCTGATTGTAGATCAGCATTGTCATCTGCACAGGGAGGGTCATTATCTCCAGCAGCAGTGCCCATGAAAAATGAGTTGAGTGGAGTAAAACCTCCTGTTACTTCCAGTGATAAGGTGGAGCACAGCAACTCTTTGCAAGCTGGTGTAGAAAACTCTAGTAAAGAGAAGCTTGTGCTCAATCTGAAAAGTGCAAAAATGAGAGGAATGAGAGATTTGCTGGCAACTAGTGGCAAAATTAACACAAGTGCAATCAAGCTGCAACTTACAGCCCAATCACAAGTGAGTGTGCCAAAGAGTAGAAGGCGCACATCATTTAAAACTGACGATTATGTGTATGACTTTGGCGAAGAGGTAGGAAATGAAGAAGATGATAATGAAGAAAAAAAGAGGCCAAGAAAAGTGAGAAAAACTGATAGGGACTTTGTGGTATAGAGGTTCACAGCATTGCGCACATTCAGTATATTTCATGTTGGGCAGAGTAATGTTGGATGATTTTTATATTATGGAATATTCATTACAGGTTCAGTATACAGAAACAGTAGCCTCTATTTGGCATGAAAATACATACGGTTATTGTTATGGACCTTATCTGTTCCAAGATGCAAACAGGTTTCCGAGAGCAAAGCTTGAGGAAAACTGTGAGCTTCAAGCTTGTGTTTATTATCCTTCAAATAGTTTGCAACACGCTTGGAAAAAATGTTTACAAACATCTTACTGTATGCAGCATGGGGTTTTTTCTTTTGCATGTTCCCTGTTCCCTGGAACGTAATAAACAAAAAAAGATTTTCCTTCGTAACAAGCACAAAAACTTTCTTTCATCTTGAATTAGATTTGAAAAGAAGACTCATCAGAGTGGATGTAGGTTTGAAAATTGGGGAATATCACTTGGTTGATATTCTCAGATATTACCTAGTTTTAACTGGGGGATATTTAGTCACGTGCTGCATTTAAACCAATTGTCTGTGTGCAAAATTATTTTATGGATCATATATATGCATACATTATGAACAGATGTCTGACTTATTGCCCTCATTTATCATACACACATGATGTTTCTTTTGTTTGCAATTCAACCAAATAATCAGGAAGAAAGCTTCTGAGAAACTCAGAGCCTTTCTTTGAGTTGCTGTTTTTTAATGAAGAAGTAAGAACCGGAGTCAGAATGTTTTTGCCTTTATCACTGTATCCACCTTAGTTTAACTTTCTCTTGTCTTTTTGTGATGTAGGAATGTGTGGTGTGAGTGGTATTTGTCATGTTTGAATTAACCCTTAAACTCCCAGATGTGTTTAACATGTAGCTCATTCCCTACAATATCCATACATTATCCAACAAAATGGCAATGAGAATACTTAACCCTTTAACTCCCAAGATCTGATGGTCAGTTCTCCTCTCAAACTTCTACACATTTCCTTGTAAATTAGTCATGAGAATTTGGTGTTACATCAAGATAACAACTTAAACCTGATAAGTTTGATTGCTCTCATTACATGTTTGCTGGATTGTATATAGATATTTTAAGGGAGAAGCCACATGTTAATCACTTCTGGGAGTTAAAGGGTTAAACCTATTGAGTAGAAGTTGTTATCCTGGTCTAATACCAAATTCTCAAAACTATTTCACAAGGAAAAATGTAGCTGATAGAAGGGAGAATTAACACTCAGACTTTGGGAGTTTAAGGGTAAAAGAAGATTTAACCACTTTTTGGAAGAAAAGGTCTCATCACAACATTCTTTCTCACTGCATCTATGTTTTAGGTATATCTCCCATTGGCAACAGTTTTTGGAATATTTTTTTTCTGGGAAGGAATCTGAGACTTATAGTTCACGAGACTGATGATTTCTGTTTTTGTGGTAAATTTGTTTTTTACACAAATCAAAACATTGTAATGCTATTTTCATCAACATTTATTCGTGGGGTAACTAGTAGTCATATGCTATAGGGCAGTATTAAATGCAGTTACCAGTATTTTAGATGTAGTTTATTTTTATTTTTTTAAAAAAAGTTTTATTTTATCTATGGTTAGCTCATTCACTGCATTTACGCTCTGCACCCTTACATCAGTGTGCACATTCTCGATACTGTTCTCTAAACATTTTCCTGAGGTGATGATAAGGAGAAGTTGTTTAACAATCAAGAGGTTATTTAGTTGGTGATCATTTCCTTTATTCTTGTGACCTTAATGTGTAATTTGGGGCCAATATTGTGAGGAGAAATTAGATGCTAGTCACTCTTAGAGAGTTAAAGGATTAATTTTACTCACCTAATAGACATTAGAAAGAAAAAATTCATCATGTAGACTTGTAGACACATGTTCTTCAATCATTAAAACTTCCTTTTCAAATCTGCCTTTTATATGCTGGGTAATTATGTTACTAAAGCTCATCTTAGTTATGAAAGAGTGTGATTCACATATAATTACATGAGACCAATGTTCTGCATTTCTTTGACTCCAGGGATTTTATATGTACAGAGATTGTTTGAGAGAGTCAAAGGAATAAGGAAGTTTAGTTTTTTTTTTCTTTTCAAGTCAACCCCGTCATTTCTGAAATAAGGTTTGTAGCAGGAAGGGGAGATCTGGACAAGTTAGTATAGCTAAGCACAAGGGTTTGTTCCTGTTCTGATTATTTAATTAATAATCAGCAATAGTTAAGAAAGATGTTGAAAGGGAGTTGGAGGGGGTGGGGTGGGGGAGTGATTTCTAATGTCTGTCTTCACAGAATAATACACCTTTGGCACTCAACATAAATGAGTGGACCTAAATTTGAATCACGGCATGCCTAAGATTCAGGGAATCTCCTTTTGATTCAGATGTTAATCTCAGTTACTGTTAACATAGGTTTGTGGTAAAATTTGGCCTAGAGAATTTGTTCATTGGGGTCAGTGCACAAGCAGTGTTTCCTTTGGATTGTTGCCATTCCAAATTATTGAGGCATTCTCAAAATTCGTGATCTTTTTTTGCACTTTTCTCATTATTTATCCCAAGAATGAAAATATGATACACGTACTTTAATTATCTATCCCAGAAGTTTATATTTCTTGACAGGCTCATTTAAAGAAGTTTATTTTAATTGCTTACCAATTTACTCTGAAATTTTAATTTTACAGTGTAACTGTTTTTTTTTAATAAAACATCTTGAAAAGCCTTTTGGCATCTTTGTAATGTGTATCTTGTCAGTTCATTCACGGGTGACTGTATTCGCTCTAATTATCTTTGCCCTCAAACAAACGCCGTATATTTAATTAAGGGAAAAAAAACAAGGTTATCACGCAAAGTCGCTCTCGCACAGACTCAGCCAACAGGTTGTGGCGTTTTCGAGGATATGCCCTTTTAACATAACATTTACAAATTATTTACCGTGATTTTTGTATGTAAATTAAGAAAAAAAGCGCGGCCCCAGGATAATCAACTTAACAAATAGATTCCAAGTTGCCGTGAGTCTGTTCAGTAATAGATCATAGATGACGTCAAAATGTGGTAAGAGCAAAAAAGTGGCACACAAGGCGCAGCAGAGTGTGTTACCGATGTTCTTACCACATTTTGACGTCCTCTGTGATATATTACTGAACAGACGCACGGCAACTTGGAATCTATTTGTTTTATATAATAGAGAATTAAAAAAAAGTTTTAATGATGACGTCATCTATACGTCTGTCCTCCAATAGATCATAAGTGAGAACCAATCAGAATGCGTGCACAACTGAGCTTATTTTGTAAACTTATTTTGATGTCTTAGCGTTCAATCGAGTAATTACCCACCCCACCCTAGAGGAGTGCTACCAGTCTCATACACAGTATAACCGCTGTCAATGAATTGAATAAAATCTAGTTTAAATAAGTTTTTTTTTTTTTTTAATCAAAGGGATCATTATAATATTTACTATTTGTCGTTAAAACTGGTAGCACACTTCGTAAAATTATTTATTAGAGATTTTCTTCCCCAGCTAACTCCCCCCGACGGGAATTATTGTCTGCCTCGTTATGAGTTAGCATTATGCAAACGAAGGAGGCAAAAACCGACATGGGGGAAATTTAAGCAAGGTTTTGGAATAATTTTGTCTCCGATTTCGGTTGCACTAGCCATCTGACCCCGACAAAAAGTGACATGAAACCCTAAGGAACGTCGAAGGAACGGAATATTAGCCGTTGGAATCATTCTTGAAACAATAGCATCGTTCACAAGTTAACTACAGTTAGTTTGACGCCATTTTGTAAACTATCCTTTTTCTGGCAGAAGGGACATAATTCACCAATAAAACATGACGAATCTCGAAGGAAACAATCGCAAATGGACGCAAGACGAAATCATAAACAATACAAGAAACGTTGTACGTGGATTAGAGACCTTGAAAAATGAACATTCAGGAATCTTGAGCAACCTTAATTCGGATCGTGGTGGATCATCGGATTTGGAGAAGGAGAAGGGCTCTATCGTCCAAGAATCAATCGAGAAGATCGAGTTAGGACTAGGAGAAGCTCAGGTGCGTATTCCTGGTTTCTTTCTTAAAGGATTAATCATAGCTAAATAAATGATGTTATTTCTCCGCTGAATTTCTTTCTCTATCACGAAGTACATGATTCGAATTTCCTTGCTGTGGAAAGAGTGTACTAAAGAGATGGATTCTATCTCTAATACTGCGATGTAATCGCAGGGGCTCCTAAGATCGACTAGTCCATTCAGGGGCAAAGATCAACTTGGAAGATAATAATAGTATGTTTTAAAACCCTGAAACGTTCGCTTGCTCTAATGAGCCTCTCAGTTGTGTTACCAAGAGTTATTCTCGTCTCGCAACGAAGGAAGCCGACTCCGATATTTGCCGGCAATTTTATTAGACACATATTCCAATTTAAGCTCTTATATTCAGTATACTCATCTAAAACTAGAACTAATCTTAAAGGCTTCTGTTCATGCCAAAGGCCATACTGTAATTATTTATGTCGCTTTTTGTCACCTTATAAACCAGCTGAATTGACAAAATGGCTGAAAATATTCCATTCCATTATGTTAATTTGACATGTTTTTATATGGGTAGTGCTAGTAAACGTATTGCGATTATCGTCATAGATAATATTTTGCAATTCAGCAGCCTTTTACAATTCTTTGATTTTTCCTTGAACTACTTGTTTATCTGCCAAATGAAATTAGCCCCAATTATAAATTTCAAACAATGGTAGCCTCACCAGTCCTATATTTTAAAGTGTTTGGTTTAATAATTCAAGAGTGAATTTAGGTTTCAATTACTGGTTTTGAATAATGGCTGTCCTTAGAAATAACAAAAATAAAGATTTATCTTCTTTGCTAATTGATAAAAGCTTTTATTCTAAATTAAATGAGGTTCAAACTTTTCTAGAGATAGTTCTTTGATTCAGACATGCAACTATCTTAGGTGATAAAGGAATTTTTTGCACTTCATGTTTGTCAAATTTTTATCCAGAATTTCTTGATGTTGAAAATGGCACCTGATTGAGCAGCTTTTTCTTGCCTCTAGGTTGACTGGATATGTGAATCGTTTCCATTTGTTACTCTTCAATTAAAAATCAGATCTATTCTTTCACTAGATTTCTTCATTTGAGATCAAGTTTGTGTACCTCTTTGTTTAAATTAAACTGTGTTATATATTTGTCATTGAGAGGTGTTTGGAACACTTTGGGACACACTTGAACTAAAAAGTTGATGGAGTAAAGTTTTGATGTATACAAAACTTCAAACTATTTAGATCGGTGACCACACTTACGTATGTTCTCTATAAAAATTCAAAAAATGCTTATGGTCAAGGTCAGGTCCAATATTGAAGTCTTTAAAAAGCAATTTATAATAATAAAATGCCTTTGTGAATAAAACTGAATGGAACACAATTGAAAAGCATTTTTTTTTCTAATGTGTTCTGGTTACAAGAATTAACATTTATTCAAGCATGTTCATTTTTGGTGTTTTGTCGTGGTCTGACTTCCTAGAATTCATAAAATTCATCATGAATGATTTTATTTAGATGATGACTATTCTGATTTGAAATGCTTATAGTAGATATTCCTGGAAAAATCCTTATACACAGAAAGTGAAAGTTTTGCACGAAAAAAAACAAGCCAATGTGTTTTGAGGAATTTTCCTAGTATTCTCAATTTATATGACCGATCCACGATTCAAAAGGTTTTCCTACCAACATAATGCACAAAACTGAACAGAACTGTGTTATAGTTTTACAAAATGTAACAGGTTTCTTTCTTTGTTTAAGGAAAAAAACAGTGTTGGAACAACAATTCTGATTATTTCAGCCAGATATAAGAGGAGTTCAGAGCTGTTTCCTTTAACAATGTTAAAAGTAATATATATCTAAGTTGCTTCTAGGTAGTATTGGAATAATGTTTTTTAATATACCACCAATGTTTAAATTGTTATATTCAGTGTAGATATGTGGCAAGTGTCAATTTAGCACTAAATTATTATAATAAATTCATGAATTCCCATTTTGTTTGGATTCTAAGAATTGAACGCATGACTTCCATTGGACTTCCTGCAAATTATTCTTATTTCTGAACAGTCCACACTCATACAGGCATTTGAGTAAGTGTAGAGCCATACTGTTGTATCACAGTTAAGTCTAAGCTGTCACATTAATTAATCTCAATAGGATGACCAGCAGATGCTTGTTAGTATCAATGATTGGTTTTAAGTTATTTTGAATATTTCCGGCTAGGTAATGATGGCACTTTGTAGTCACCTCAGCACTGTTGAAGCTGAAAAGCAGAAACTGAAAGCACAAGTGCGAAGGCTTTGTCAAGAGAATGCCTGGCTCAGAGAAGAACTGTCAGTCACTCAACAGAAACTACAAGAAAGTGAGCAGAAAGTGGCTCAGTTGGAAGAAGAAAAGAAACACTTGGAATTCATGAACTCTATAAAAAAATATGATGATGTAAGCATCTTTCAGTTCTTCCTTCTTGTACAATAATTTTCATGGAAAGCTACTTTTGCACATAAATTGCACTCAGTGGTTATAGTTTGTTTTTTGGAGTCACCTCTCATTTATTTTATTGTTTCTTATTTTTCATGTGTTTTGCCCATCATGGAATTGTTTTGACTCTCCTAGGATAAGCATGTAAGTGTTAAAATAGCTAGAGAAGTTCCCTGTTTCCTTCTTCATTCATTCACGCACTTACACTTACAGTTCATTGGATTGTTTGTTTTTAATTATGTCCTTGTCCTTATCATGCATTCATGACTGTTTATTTTAGTTTGCATAAAATGCAAAAGGGTTAAGAAACAAGTACTCAACTTTTAGAAACATGTAGACCATCTTTAGAAATTCTGCTACAGTTTCTTTAAGAGCAATGGAACAAAACTTTATATTTCAGCTGTGCAAAAAGATTCTTTAGATTGGTATGAAAATCCTGATTTTATTGTGCAGTATATGACTTTCATAAAGGGTCCCTATCCATCGTCCATTTTAAAAGTAGATTCGATGTTGCGATGTGTCTGTTCAGTAATAGATCACAGTTGATGTCAAATTGTGGTAAGAACAAAAGAGTGACACTTGAAGGGCAGTCAAATGTGTCATAGGTGTGACAGGAAATC